TCGGGTAGTCTTTGGTTTACAAATACTTGATATGCCTGTAGCAATCAGGTGACATCAAATTCATCTCTGTTTTAAGTCCAGATCCCCGCCATTGACGCACTATTATACATATGACTGATAATTCAAAATCAATGTTAGTCAAATAGGCACGGTCTTCTCTTTTCTGATTTATTACCTATTCCAAGACTTCCTCTAAATCTTATCTATCTGCCAACTTTTAGTTCTTCGTCTTGATTTGTATTTTTCTTCTTGTGGTTGTCAGGTAATGGATCTGCAAAAAGAAGAGATAGTTGGGACAGACCATAAGGTTGATAATCTGATTCAGGTCAATTCATTGAAAATTCCTTCACTCATTGTTTATCATTTTGCCGCCACTTTGACCTTAATCTTTTGGCATTCATCTTGGCCATGTGTCATTTTTTGAACTACATAGTTTGTGTCTACTGGTCTTTTGAGTTCTCCTTTATGAAATAAAAGATAATTGTCTGTGATGTAAATTAGGAAAACATCACGCATTCTCTTTTAATATTAGTAATTTTGTTTCATCTGCACCATTTTTGGATCACTTCATCAACATAAGTTGGGGCTTGCTCCTACACCCACTGTAGGTGCATCTAGATACTCTGTTATCTTTGTTATAATTATTTTAGATACTATGGTTTTATCTTATGCAAGGAAGGCCTCTGATTCCATCATATATTATCAGTCTACTTCCATGGTTAACACTTGATATTCATATCCTTTGTACAGATAATGCCATGGAATACAAAAGAAACAAAAAATTCTTAAATTTCTTTCTCAACAATGCAACGCTTTTCAATGTTCATGTCTGCACAACTCTACAAAATGATCATGCTAAATGCAAACATCATTATGCACTGGACACTGTTCGTACTCTTCCCACCTCCTTGTGTCCTGGAACATTTTAAGGGGAAGCTGCTTCCATTTCCATTTATGACATTAATTGTTCCGATCCTCAGTTGTTTGCACTATGACTCTCTATGAGAGATGGTATACTAACTATAACGATCTTGGAGTAGTTGGATGTATTTGTTCGGTTTCATCTCCTATCCAATGACCTTATCAAACTGGAACCTGACTGCTCAACTTTGTTGCTTGCTTGTATGCGGGACAGAACACAAAGTTAATAGGTGTTGGGATCCTATCACCAAGCATCTTCGAATCTTCCCACATGTCAAATTTTGGAAAAGAACGTTTTTCATATGTTTACTTCTTGAAGATGATGAACCTTATCCACAGTGTCATCAATCTCAGCCATTCATATCTTAGAGTTACTGACCACGTTTACAAATTCCTATGTTTACTTCCTGAAGATGATGAACCTTATGGCGATGCTTCTTCTTCCCCAGACTCTACAGCCTCCTCGTCCTCTGACCTTGGACAGGTAAACAAACTTCGAAGCATTCTGGCGCATTACGTCTTCTGTGAATTCTGAATCATCTCTTCCTCTTTTCCATCCTTCAGAGTAAGTCAGCATCCTACTCACCTTTTTCTCTACCTTTACATCAACTTATGAACTCCTGTACTTTTCAAGAAGCTAGTGCCAACCCACATTTGGCAGCAAACTCTGTTGGAAGAATTGCAAGTTCTGGAGATAACAGATATATGGAACATGGTTTAAGGTTCATAGTTGGCTATAAATGGGATATATAAAATCAAGACATATAGTGATGGCACTGCGGATTGATGTAAGATCCATCTTGGGGTAAGAGGTTTACTAGAGGGAAACTGATTATGAAGATACATTTGCTCTAGTTGCTTGTCTGACCTCTGTCCAGAGCCTCTTAGCAATTGCAGCAGTATAAAAAGGTGGAACTTTTCTCAAATGAACATAAAGAATATTTTTCTCAATGGTGACTTATCCGAAGAGGCTCTGGAGGGAAGAAACTTCTGCTACTCTGTGTATAATCTATGATAAAAATTACAAGAGGTCGTGACAATATCACTTAATTCAAACAATCTCTTCATAAGGAGTTAAGGACGAAAAACCTCGACCCTCTCAATTATTTTCTTTGGCCTTGAGATTAATCTTGATGACTCTAGTTGTATTTATCTCAGCTTATGCAAGTGATTTATTCTCATGAGCTGGTTTGGCTGACAGTAAAA